TGGATACAAAACATGTTCCCCCTTTGTAAGAAGTAAAAACGCTCTAGGTCAACAAACTAGGAATAAACAACAAGAAGCAACAAAACTGTTCCCTAACAAGGGTTTTTCACTTGTAGTCAAGCGAACTACACCCCCAAAAATAGGTTTTGGATACAAAGCATGTTCCCCCTTTGTAAGAAGTAAAAACGCCCTAGTTCAACAAACTAGGAATGAACAATTGGAAGGGACAAAGCTGATCCCCAACAAGGTTTTCCCTTTGTAGTAGAACAAACTACACCTTCAAAAATTGTGTCAACCACAAAAGACCCACTGAAATCGCTCCAGTTCCACTAACCAGAGCCTTCTCGCGCGCAGGTGGACACGTGGCTTCAGCTTTGGTCGCCCCTAGCTGGCCAGCGTGTTGGCTGGCTGGGGGCGTTAGGGCACACGACGTAAAAATAATTTCGTAATTTAGACGACGTCACTAAATTTAGTTTTGAAAATAATGAAAATAACCGACGACCCAGGAATTGTTTTAAATTGCCCAGATTGAACACATAGATATAGCAGCAAAGAAATTCAATGAGCTCAAATTTGGAAAAGCAACACCATGTGTTTCAAGCAACACCAACATTGATAATTTATATATAAGTACATTGCGACCGAGGGGGCCACGCTACATCTCCGGATCCAGTTGACCCAGTTGACCTCAACTGGGTCAACTAGGTTCTGCGTCAACTGGTTTCAACTGGCTGAACTGGGTTCCACTGGATCAACTGGGTTCAACTGGGTATGGAGATTTAGCGTGGCCCCCTTGTCGACTGGCTCCACTACCACCACCACAACGAAGACGACGACGACGACTACCACTACTACTACTATTGTTGCTGCTGCTACTATTGCGTGTCACCTGGGTTCAACTGGCTTCAATCGGGTCAACTGGTTCCACTACCACTACTATCACCACCACCGCCACTAAGACGACGACAACAACAACAACTACTACTACTACCACTACTAAAACTACTACTACTACCACTATACTACCACTACGACGACGACTACTACTACTACTACTAGCACTACTACTACTGCTACTACTACTACTACTACTTTCTCTACTTCTACTACTACTAATGCCACTGCTACTGCTACTGCTACAACTACACTACTTTACTACTACTACTACTACTACCACTACCACTACCACTACCACTACCACTACCACTACCACTAC